AGTATCCGAATTTAAAAAGAATAAGTGATGCCAGGTCCAACCGCCACAGTATCAAATCCAAATATAGCTGTAGCCATATTATATCAAATTTAAACAACATATGTACAGTTCAGAAGCAAACATAAAAACTTCAATATAAGTACAAAATATAGAAATAATAACAATATACAATGATAAAATCTCAAATTGGAATCAAATAAAATACCAAAATGTCAACAGAAAGAGTCCGTCATGTCATAACAAAAATATATAAACATGGAGGGATTTTCCAAAACACAAAACATTCAAAAAAGATTCTACAGTTGGGCCACTTAAGAATACCAAGATGTCTGAATCCAATGTTTTAACCATTATCCACTGAAATTCATTGTTTTGCGATGCTTCAGATCTTGCGTATGGTGCTGTTACGTATATACGTTATGAAGTTGCTTCCGGTCAGGCTCATTGCTCATTTCTGCTAGCTAACTCTAGAGTTTCTCCTCTAACACTTGTCACTATGCCTAGATTGGAATGGAACGACGGCCGTTTGGCGATCGTCCCCATGATAGGGAATGTACTTCCCGGATAGGATATGACAGTTTTACGAGGTGTTGTACATGTTCGTGTGGGTTAATTGGGTAAGGTTTATACTACCGTTAGGTCATGCCACGATAGATAGGGGAATCAAGGGCCTGATGGGAAGGTATAGGTACTAGTCGATGATAGGTCATATCCATGTTGGATGGCGGTAGGCTACTGCTGTAAGTCCTACACGTTCTTCCGGTGTGGATTAGGGGATGAGTGGAACCCTAAATTGAAGTGTCATTAACGCTTGCTTTTTGCATGGAGGGATTTTGCGGGCTGGTTGTAGAATCCTTTTTGAATGTTTTGTTTTTTTGGAAAAATCCCTACATGTTTACATATTTTTGTTGTGACATGACGGACTTTTTCTGTTGACATTTTTGGTAATTTATTTGATTCCAATTTGAGATTTTATCATTGTATATTGTTATTCTTTCTATATTTTGTACTTATATTGAAGTTTTTGTGTTGCTTCTGATTGTATATGTTGTTTAAATTTGATCTTTAATATGGCTACAGCCATATTTGGATTGATACAGTAGCCGCTGGACTTGACGTCACTTATCTATCGTTGTTTCTGATACTCTTCGTAGTAATTGTATCCTGGAATGAGCATTAATTCCAGGTAATGCTTTGTATTTCCATGTCTTTATTAAATAAGACCGCTTTCTCCTAGAATTTTTGTCCTTTTTTTGATTTGTTTGGACCTGGGATTGGGAGAAACGAGTACAGGAGTGCACCTATTGGAACCCATTGGAACTGCCACCGTAGAAATCCATTTACAATATGTTCTTACTGACTCTTTTTGTGCTACGTTTTGGTACTCTGTTTAATCCTATCTTGTGATGTTGATATTTGTATTGTGTTATAGTTTCAATTTTCTCCTTGAACTGTATTCTGTTGTTTCAGTTGATACTTAATTATAGAGTCAGCCATATCGGATTCGATACCCATGGAGGGTGAAACGTACATCTGGACTAGAAGGGTGCAATTTCGGACCTAAACGGAAGCATTCTTCCAGAATTGGAAACAGACTGTGTTAAGTTGGAGGTAGAACAGTGTAATATTATTTAGGTAATGTTCTGCAAATTTTAATTAATAATAGAACTGTTTCTTACCCAGATAAATTGCTTTCTGTCTGGATTGAATTGGAAAGGCGAGTATCTAAACTTCTAGAACTGTCCTTCCGAATTCAGAAACCACTCAAAAACCTTACACGGGTTAGATGTTAATGAAATAGTTCAAACTACTGTGGTAAAAATTATGGGTTTTCAGACAAACTGTTAGGATCTGGGATGTAGCAGCAAAAGGTTATTTGTTAGAATGAGCAGGAAGGTGTAAAAGTGTTTTATTTATCAATGGGAAAAAAAGAATAGGACTGGAGCACCAAGAAATCAGTCGGTTTAAACTTTCTCGGTAAAAAGATATTGGATATTGGATTACAGTGCAGGTTTAAGTAGTAAACTGATGATAGGCAATAGGTAACTTTGCAAAACTATAGGTTTTTATGGCTTTGTTAACTTGTGAAAGTAATGACTCAAGACTCATCTGAAGTAGTGTAGTGTAAGTCAGTTAAAGTACTGCCAGAACAAGTACCACCACAATTCACGTTTTGTAGGGAAAACACAACTGATTTCACCCGTGGTCAAACATCTCATACAACACCGGCTCCATAAATAATATAACGGAATCGGTTACTCAATTGGCGCTTTAACCTTAGCAGCATATAAAGTCTCATGCGGGAAGATTAACAGTTTTTATGAATTGCACACAGAACTTCTGAGGCAACTTTCAATATACTTAGCTGTCCTACTCGAACTGATATACAAAATTTCACTTAACCAGAATAATTCATCATTAAACTGAAAAAGAGGAACACCCAGTTTCATTCACAACACTGGATTAAGACAACACTCAGTAATCTATTGATTCCCTAACCTTACGAGCAGTTAAGCCAAAATATTATGAGTAAAAACCGAAACGTACGTGGTACTGTTCACAGAACACGAGAACGTGTTAACCAGTGACCAGTATGGTTTATTATGTGAAAGGAACTTTTGAGTAAGTGATAGCTGCACAGGGTCACTAGAGGGAAAGAAACTGGTAAATGTTTATCTATGTCTACTTCAGCAGACTCCCGATAAGCCCTAGTACTTCAAAGTTGCTGGCCATCCGATTATGAGGATTTCAGGCTTTTGCTTGGTCACTAGCGATAAGCAAGAATCAGTTCTTTTGAGAATCAATGCCTACTGGAGTCTCTTAAGGCTTTTTACTAAGTCTTTTATCGTCTGGAAATTATGATGGAGTGTTTCCACGTATCACCAATTCCTCTCCAAAGTCTGCAGGTAAGTAGCAAATAAGGTTAATGTACATCTGTAGCTGCTTATGTTAGGTGGTTACAGGTTTGCCGAACGCATCGCTTCCGGACTAAAATATTATGCCTACGGTGTGTATTCATTTTCTTACCTTATGTAGGCGTCACATTACATACTATGATATTTTGAACGTTAAAAGATTTGTTGGTTTTATTCAGAATCTGTCGCTTCATTTTGCTGCTGAATTCAAACAGTCAATGCTGACTACGATCACATTATTGGCTTTTGGTTTATATGATAAAAGATACTTTTGTGAACTGCTTCAAATCCTGTATACTCTTTTTTCGTGTCTCCTAGTCCATTCGGTTGTAGACGATAGTGAAAAATACTGAAGCTAACGACAAACTACTTTCCTCTCACAACTCTTTTTCCTGTTGTATTGAATCATCCAAGAGACCTTCAGCGTCATAAAAACCACCAGTCTCCATGGGATGATCCAGGTATTAGCTTCGGTTTGTTCAGGGGAGGTTATCAGATAAACTGGATTTGAAATAGTGGTCTCAGATAGAAATAAAATTTATTGTGTCCTAGAAATTCCAGTTAAGTAAGCAAAAACAGGTGACTAGTCGAGATAGTATAAATCATCTCAGAATTAAAATAAAGAAATAAATACTTAAGACAATGTTTTAATCTAGCATGCAGTCAAAAGTCAGCAATCATTCAAGGAACCATACTGCAACCTTGAGTTTGGTCCGACAAGACCTAATTATCAATGGTTTGGCAACAAGCAACTGTGTTTAGAATACTAAAGTGGAATATTAATGACTGAAAAATGAAAACACGGTTGCAGAAGTCCGGGGTAAAAGTTAGGTGCAAAACGTTTTCAAAGAACAAAGAAGGAACCACATCGTTAAATAAAAGGCTGTAAAGGGATTTTCAGAGTATTCTTTCTGTTAAATCACCTACCAAATCCGCTCCAAATACTTGAGGATACCTACGATAATATCCAGTTTTAGTGGTAACCGATTCGAGATTGACTATAATCACCACTAAATACTAATTACTGATTACTAGCCCATCACGTTATTAAATAGAAAATGCGGGGGTAGATAATATATTTGAGGGAGAAAGTGGGAGACATAACAAACAGCAAGTTAGGAATGATGACAGCAACGTGAAAACAGAAATTTACAAGTGTTTCTAGTACAATGCAACAAAACGAGTACAATAGTAAATGTTTCCTTTCCTCCCATTGCTTTTTCTTTGTTGAAGTGTTCCACCGAACAGCCGTGGCTCTACTAACTTTTCCATGCTATTGGAAAGTACTGAACGTACAGCAGTACGCCTGTACAACCATAGACCTATCCCACAACATTTGATCATTTGGCTCCTTCCAGAAAATGCTGCTTCGGCAGACCTCTTCTTAGAACCCCTTCTTTCTTACGTACCACCATTGTGTTCTACGAGAGTATCTTCATTCAACTCACTTTTATTAACCAATCTCACTGGGCGAGAGCCTGGAGTAGCACCAAATGCTCCTCGTTTTAGTTTCCATGTCTTCGAAACCATTTTTGTCACAGATGACGTAACAGGACCTATTTCTTCAACCATCGACGCCAGATAGTATTAGTTACTTCACCTTTCGCCTTCGTTTTGAATGCCCATAAACAATAGTGAATTTCATTCTTCAACCATAATTAATCTCGTAATAGCAGCAGCAGGGCATTGAGCTTGAGAACAATGTCATTCCTCTAATCCGATGTATAGAATAATTGACTCTGTCTCAAAGTGATAGCTCGGCGAAATAGCAGTGTGCTTCACCACATAGTATAGTCGTCCATCGCCACAAATTAACCTTTTAGTAAGCATGGGAGATGGTTTTGTAACTATTTTATCTTTATCTCACTCTCGAAATTTCTTTGAAGCCCATGCATAGCTTCCTCACTCAAGGGAATTTCGGATACGCATAAACAGCCCAAAATAAACTGACATACCGCAACAAATCTGTTTTTAATCCAAAATTATAAGTCTGAAATGTTATGTGGTGTACTGGGGTTGGTGCTCTCCTGTAGAAAGCAATAAACTAATATAACTTAACCCCGTTAGGACTATTTAGAATCACATCCAGAATTCAAACAGTCACTCTACTAAGTTCATGAGTTTCTACTTTATGATTTTAGACTCAAGGTCAATATGGTGCTACCTTTTGATAACTTTGTTTTAGTTACCTTCTTATTGCGTTGAACCGCCGAGTTCATCTTTTGGCTGAGACATCTCTTCCAGGGACATTATTTGCAATCACTATGGGAGAGGGTGGCAAAGAAATCAAAGGACTCAGTTTCGCCGAAAATTTCCTGCTCAGCGGTGCTGCTGCTGTTATCGCTAAGACCGCAGCTGCTCCTATAGAGCGAGTCAAATTACTCGTCCAAAATCAAGATGAAATGATTAAACAAGGGCGCTTGGATAAGCCGTATTCTGGTGTTATCGACTGTACCATGCGGACATTTAGACAAGAAGGTATTAGATAATCTTCTCTGACTATTACTGCAGGTTTACTACCATTCTGGCGTGGAAATCTACCTAACTGTTTGAGGTACTTTCCTACCCAAGCGCTGAACTTTGCATTTAAAGACAAAGTTAAGTCAGCGTTCGCTCAAAGCAAAGATGACCCATATTTGGTTGCATTCTACAAAAATGTGGTCAGTGGTGGAGCTGCAGGAGCTTTGTCGTTAGTTTTCGTTTATTCTCTGGACTACGCTCGAACACGTTTGGCCAATGATAATAAGTCTGCCAAAAAGGGTGGGACTCGTGAGTTCAATGGTTTGATTGATGTTTATGCGTAAGATGAATTATAAAACTTATATTTTTCTCCAGTAAGACGTTCAAGTCAGATGGTATTGCTGGACTCTACCGTGGCTTTGTCATCTCGTGCTTCGGTATAATTGTATACAGAGGATTTTACTTTGGATTGTATGATACCTTGAAACCGATATTCCTTGGGCCAGATGCAGGTGTGGCAATCAGTTTTTGCTTAGGTTATGGTGTAACTGTCACTGCTGGATTGATATCCTACCCAATTGATACTATCCGTCGGCGTATGATGATGACTTCAGGTTAGATAAAAATAGTTTTCATATTGTTTCCTTAGGTCAAGCCGTCAAATACAGAAGCTCAATTCACTGTGCAGGCGAAATACTAAAAAATGAAGGTCCAATGTCTTTCATGAAAGGGGCTGGTGCAAACATACTTAGGGGTGTCGCCGGTGCTGGTGTGTTGGCTGGATTCGACAAATTTAAAGAATTGTATGCTGACTTCAGATTACCAAAGAAGCCAACCCCTTAGATGTCTCAATTAGTTATTAATTGTAAAGCTAGCATGTAATTTAGTTTTTTCCTGGGATTTCTAGCATTTCAATTTTCGCTGGAGATAAAATTATTTACTTCGAGTTATTGATTTTTCACTTTAATGTTGCGTAATTGTGACATGTTCATAGCCGGTACGCTTAACAACTGGTGCTCCTTACCTCACATTATTGCTTTGGTAGAAAGTGATTATCAGCAGCTGAGTCAGTTATTGTAACCGAATTTTTGTCCTGTTCTTCTTGGGTGACTTGGTTATGTCGGCTGCTTTTTGATGTACAATCATTAATTTAACACTGCTAGCACCTAAAACCTCTTATGTGTGCCTGGGTCTTACCATGAGTAATTGTTTTTCTTGCTTAGGGATACGGCCAAGCCGTATCTGATAATAGCAGCTTGTTATTGTTGTATATTTTACACAATACAATCATTATAGTAAGTTTCCCGACTAGTTTCTCGGTATACATTTTATCACTTAATGTTTGTGGTATTTCAGTTTTTGTGTAAGCAGGATTCTGGCTAAAAGTGGGAGCTAGGTCGTGTTTTGTGCATGTAAAGTTACCTGGTTAAAGTTGGGTTAAGGCAAGAGAAACCCGTATGGCCTAATCAAAACAAAGTACATTAACAGAGTAATAGAACTTAGGTTTTACCCAGCAACATAGACTTTCTGCGTCAATGTGACATGTAATTTCTCAGTGTATCACATGAAGCTGACTTTTGCGCTGTGAGTTAGTTGGTTTCATGTTATGCCTTTAATGTGCATATCTACTGTAACTGAGGGCACTTTATGAAAGTCTGATGAATTTGTAGTTCGGACCTAAATAATTTAGATCAGATACCAATGAATAAAATTCAAGGTTTTTCGATACCTACATCCACGTTAAAACATGAGGAAATGAATAGGATTACAAAAGACGAGTAAGTGATATAAAAAGCACCTATCGGTTCGTGTAAGCTTGATGGAGATTCTAAATATATAAGAGTGGATATTCGTATTATCGTTTTGACGTTCGAAGCTTAATTATTAGTCCTTGAATGCTCAGTTGCGTTTAACTGGGTACTTTTTCGCTTTAACTGAACTCAAGAAATTATTATGAGAGGCAATATTACGATTTTTAATCGTAAAGTTTGAATGCACCTAGCTGACATCTGCTAACCGGTTTTGTTCCATCGCTTCATAAATCTTAGATCCTTATTGCAGGTGTAAATCGGATATGCTTATGTTATGTAGTGGATAGATTGTTTCCTAGAGAAACTGAACATGATGAAGAACGAAGTCAACTTAGGCGCAGACTTATAAAAAGCCTACGTAACGACCGTGAACAGTGGTGGGTGGCGAAAGCGAGAGAGATGGAAAAGGCAGCGGCGATAGGCAACTATTTAGACTCATCAAGGAAACTGGTATTAGGAACCCAACTGTGAGTGAAACTATTTCAGAAATGGATGGTCTTATTATCCATTCTCAATGCAGGAGACTGGACCGATGGGCAGAACACTTTAGGGATCAGTTCAACTGGCCACGAGCCACTCTTCGGTTACCCACGATCTCCAGTCATCCTGAATGGCAAATCGACGTAAGTCCCCCTAGTCTTAATGAAGTTGAAACAGCGTTAGGAAATCTGAAGCGAGGACGAGCTGCAGGTCCTGATAGACTGACCCCTGAGATATTTAAGGATGGTGGTCCAGTTTTAGCAGCTAGGTTGACTGAGATCTTAGGTAGAATCTGGGAACTGGACGCAATCCCATCCGACTGGTCTCAATCCTTGATTGTCCCAATCTATAAGAAAGGACAAAAGTCTTCTTGTGACAATCACAGGGGAATAAGTCTAACTAATATAGTATCTAAAATACTGGCCTCAATAATACTTCGACGCTTAACGAAAGCTCGTGAAGAGCAGACTAGAGAAAACCAGTCTGGTTTTCGACCTGGACGTGGCTGTATAGACCACGTCTTCACACTCAGACAGGTCCTGGAACATAGACACACATTTAGGCGTCCTACAATAGTTGTTTTCCTGGACCTTAAGGCGGAATTTGACTCTGTGGATCGTGGTGTTCTGTGGCAGTGTCTGTCATTGAAAGGTGTACCAAATAAGTACATTCACCTTATACAAGCTCTTTACTCGAACACCACTGGTCGAGTGAGGGCTTATGGCGAACTGTCACCGGAATTCTCTACATCAAGTGGTGTCCGTCAGGGATGTCCACTTTCTCCATTCTTGTTTAATTTTATCACAGACATGCTCCTAGACATAACATTATCCTCGTCTGAATTTTCAGGAGTAGACCTTCTACCAGGTGGCTCACTTATTGACTTAGAATATGCCGATGACATTGTCCTACTTGGTGAAGACGCTGACAAAATGCAGAGTCTTCTGACTACCCTAAGCAACAATGCAAGCATGTTCGGGATGCGGTTTTCCCCCTCGAAATGCAAAATGTTGCTTCGAGACTGGGTTGCATCGGCACCAGAACTAGTGATAGGGAGTGAAGTAGTCGAACGTGTAGACCGCTTCACTTATCTTGGGAGTCTCATCAGTGCCGATGGCCTGGTAACTGACGAAATCTCAGCACGGATACAGAAGGCTCGATTGGCTTTTGCCAACCTGCGTCACGTATGGCGTAGGCGAGATATCCGTTTACTGACTAAAGGAGGAGTGTACTGCGCAGTAGTTCGCTCCGTCTTACTTTATGGCTGTGAAACATGGCCAGTGAGAGTAGAAGATATTCGTAGGTTACTGGTTTTCGATCATAGGTGTCTTCGAAGCATTGCTCGTATATCATGGGACACCCGAGTGAGTAACGCTGTTATTAGGAATCGGGTGCTAGGTAAGAATGGCAGATCAATCGATGAAGTGTTGAAACTTCATCAGTTGAGATGGTTGGGACATGTGTTGCGTACGCCCAACCACCGACTGCCTCGTCGAGCTATGTTTTGTGGTGTAGGAGTAGGTTGGAAGAAAGTTAGGGGCGGCCAGACCAAAACATGGCAGAAATCCATGAAGTCATTGACTAGTGGACTGAGCCATGTCGGTAATTTTTGGGGTCCGCGAGATGATACTTACCGATGGTTAGAGACCTTGAATGACATGGCTCAAAATCGTTCGCAATGGCGCCGGTGCATTTATTCTTTGTGTTCTCTCAAATCCTAATCTTCTGGATTCTTCAACTCCTCTAGTTTCGACTCTCTAAACTTTTCTCACTGAATCATACCTCTTGAATAGTATCTTCTAATCCTAACCTCTCCGATTACTTCTAATTCCCTTAATACCTCTTTTACTATTGGATTTGAATTGACGATTACTTCTCTGTGCTGATGTGGTATGGCAACATGAACTGATGTACTTATGTACAAAGTTCTACGTTGCATCTGACCGACTTCCTAGAGAAAATCACTTCATGATATTCACGCTTCCAATAAACGTGATTGTTTTATTTCGTGCCCCGTGCTTTTCATCTTGTAAACCAACAGAAGAATAGATATGTTGATGCTAGAACAGTACGTACAATCTTATCACCGTAATGTGATGCCTTGTTAAAATATAGTTTAGTCGGTGTGTACCAAAATATGATTCACTTGATTATTACCTTAAGACAAATATCAAGATAGTAATCCCAGAAAGCCTTTCTTTGCGTTCATATAAACTTTTGAAATTCCATTCCTACAAGTCCTACTTTTGTTTGAGGTATGTGTTGCTTCGGTTGTATTGCTTGTTACTAATGTCACTTCAGCAGAAGTCTTAACATCTACATATTTCCCATTGAGATGGTAACGTTTTTTCTGGTACACTGACGAAACGTGGTGTAACTGTTAAAGTATATTCAGAAAGTTATAAAATACACATTAAATTTAGTCATTGTTAAGCTTGTGAGTTTTTAAGATAGCCACTAAATTGTGTTTTATAAGATAGGAGCTATTTATGCACTTTTGTATAAACGAGATTACTTGGTGGAAATAAGCATGGTATATGTGTTACCAATTACAGTAAACGTACTCTGAAACTTTCCACAGTGAAAATATGTGCTACATTCAAAGCTGTGTGTCATATTGCTTCCCACTTCCCCAATGGAATTTACACGTCTTTTCAATGTAAGAACATTTAGGAAATTTGGCCTCAACCGGTATAGTATTAGGTCCTAGGGTAGAACTAGCTCTCTTAAACTGGATTTCGGTAGACAGCCACTTATGCACTGGTTCAACTAAATGGGCAGTTAGGACTCGGAAAGATATGGAAACTCGCTGTTGTCTTTGCCTACACTTCCACTGACTGCAGTCCAGACGAGATAAAGAAATTAGTTTTACAGAAACCTCTAAACTTCTTCAGAAACTTAAGCGCTCTGATATAGTATTGATGGCTGGCGACTTTAATGCTGAAGTAGGTAGACTAAATGGAAAGGGTAGACATCTAGGTGGATCTTATGGTGTCGTGGCTCGAAGATCAGATAATGGCGACCGTCTGCTTTAGCTATGCTCAGATAACCGCCTATTTCTTGCAAACACTAACTTTAAGCTTAAGAGAACACGTATGTTGACATGGAGACCTCCAAGGCTGACCCAACTAGATCACATCACTATGAGCCATGGGGAGAGAGACTATTGAATACTGCCGCTCATTCTGGAGTACTTGTTTAGACTCAGACCATGCTCTATTGCGAGCGCGTATTTGTCTGCGTCTTACTGGACGTAAGAAAATTATCGCAAAGAAACCTCTTAGGGTTCTACTTAACGTTAAAAATGCTAAGAATATTTTTCAGGAACAATTAGAAAAACAGGCATCCATGTAATAAGTGATGCCCACCCTGAGGCAGCTTGGAATGATACCCAAAAAGCTGTGGAAACAGCAATGATATCTTCTAGTAAGGTAAACCACAAGGTTGGGGAGAAGCGGTAGATTTCAGTAGCATCCACCGAACTGATGCATGCATGTAAGCTCATCCCGCGGTGAGGAACAGAGTCCGATTAAGCGCAGGTTGATCAAAAGCCTACGCAACGATCGAGAACAGTGGTGAGTAGCGAAAGCAAGGGAGATGGAAACGGCGATAAGCAACTATTCGGACTCATCAAGGAAGCCGGTATTAGGAATACGAGTGTGAATGAGACTATTTCGGAAATGGGTGGGACTATTTTTCACTATCAATCTAGGAGATTGGATCGATTGGCCGTTACCCACGATCTCCAGTCAACCTGAATGGCAAATTGACGTAGGTCCTCCGACTCTTTATGAAGTTGAGAAAGCGATAGGAAATTTGAAGCAAAGGAGAGCAGCGGGTACTGATGACTGACCTCTGAGATCTTTAAGGATGGTGGTCCAGTTTTAGCAATTAGATTGACTGAGATTTGAGTTAGAAGCTGGACGTAATCCCATCCAACTGGTCTCAATCGCCGACTGACCCAGTTTATAAGAAATGACAAAAGTTCTCTTATGACAATCACACAGGAATC